CGCGGGGACAGCAAGCTTTCTTCGACATCAGGATTTTTGATCCCATGGCCGCATGTCACCGTAACCTAGCTCTTGATGCTGCACATAGGAGGAACGAGAACGACAAGAGAAGGGCATATGGGGAGAGAATTCAAAACGTTGATCAAGGCAGCTTCACTCCTCTAGTGTTCACAACCTCTGGTGGGATGGGACCAAGTGCAAGATGTTTCTACGCCAGACTCGCAGAGGTGATCTCCGAACTGAAGCAGCAGCCCAGAAGTTATGTTACAGCCTGGATGAGATGTCGACTGTCTTTCTCTCTCCTTCGGTCGGCTTTGCTCTGCCTCAGGGGAACGAGAGCTTCTGCCCCAGTCCCGACAAATGCTGCAGATAATGACTATGAGGCTACAGTCACTAAATACCGCATAGACCTGCGGCTCAACTAATTCAACACAGATAGGATAGCTACTTATGTATTAGGATATTTAATATTAAGGTAATAAAATGGTGGCGAAGGTGTGGCTATTGGGGGAGGCTGGAGGCCACGTAAAAAAAATAAAAATAAAATAGTAGTAGTAGTAGTAGTATTTAATGTATGGCATTGTTTTGGGTTTCTCTGCTTTGATTCAGGTGAGTCACTCAGGTGAGTCAGGTAAGGTGTAAGGAAATGTCTCATTGATGGAATTGTTTTTGGTTTTGACACAAACGCACGCACGCACACAAGGAGAATGTCATCAGAGGAGGTCATTTAAAGGGAAGGTTGGAGTCATTTTGTGTTGACAACATAATGAAATAAATTGAGGTTACATAAAGTAGTGTAGTGTTGCATAGTGTAGTAGTGTAATGTAGTGTAGTGTTGTGTTGGTTAAGACTACTCCACCCAGGTGTTGATCACAGATAAGGGCTGGTGAGAGAGACACGGTGTTTGAAGTGTCAGTATTCAGGATGATGTATGTACTACCAACCTAGCTTTGACACACTAGTTGCTGCAGCGTAGTAATACATCATAACATCAATGCCGAGGGTCTTTCTGCTCACGCACTTCCCATGATGAGCTTACCAAGGTGTTTCAGACATCCTGTAGGAGTGTAGGTTTGGAAATGTATGATGAAAATTAAGTGTTTTTTCTCACCAGTAGTCTCGTTAATAGGTATACAAATATAAAATAATGACTGAAGGGGAAAAAACAGGATGTAATCACATGATATTTGCTTCTAAGAATGTGAAATTATGTGAAAGATATTTTAAATAATAAAAACTGGCAAAAAAAAAAAAAGAACCCAACTTTACTGATTTTGGTGAGGGCATGAATGATTCAATTAAAACAACATTGTCCTTACTTGTTGGAGAACTAACACACCAGCACGTCAGGATAGTTTTGCTGTTATTAACAAGGCATTCACATGAACTGCACTAAAAATTTGTAAGGCAGTGTGTACACATTTTCCTGGGACAACTTGTACGGTATCCATACATATCCTCGTGTGGACATGAACAAGGTGGGGCCTCCAACATCATTGACTCTGTAAAACTTCCGGTCACATTTACTTAATACATTATATCCAAAACCAGCTCAGATGGGCTAATTCAGAAGGTAAGCCATATTAATAGATAGGCCATATTAGTACATAAGCTTTATTAGACGGTAAGCCTTATTAGCAGATGAACTTTTAATAGATGGTAAGCCATATTTGACAGAAGTTCTATCATTAGAGGTAGATGGGCATCTACCTGTGACACAAGAGATGACAGAAGGTGTACAATGTCACGTCCACACACACCTGCAGGTCTAAGACCAGACTTCTCCTCAATGTGTGTTGTTGACGTACAATATACCTGGGCAACTGGCAGAGTCTCTCAGCCTCTGGATCTTTGAGAGACGACTGGATACAATACTGGGCAGCTCAAGATGTCATGTTGGTGAGAAACTTTACTGGAGAAACCACATACAAGCCATTCACAGTAAAGTCAATAAACAGTGCGGTATCATGTATCACACTCGACAGTCACTCACTCTCACAGCAATGAAATAAATCTATCATGATCTTGTTTACCAACACCTGATACACTGTCACACACTATGGGGGGCCTCTGGCTCTTCAAAAACACAATCTCTGGTTACTGCACAAAAGAGAGTTGTACGTACAATGACCTACTTGAAAAAACAGATCACACAAACGAAAAATTTGCTATATTGAAATTTTTAAAATGCGAGGATATTAACACCTACGGCTGTGCCCTCTTTGTTTACAAATCTATCAATCACTTGCTTGACAATAATTATTTCCAGTTCCGGAATAATCAGAGATACAACTTAAGGCACCCAGAGCTACTAAGACCACCCCCCATGCGCTCCTAAAATATCATGGTGTGAAGGTGTGGAACAACTTACCCCCACCCATCCGAGCAAAGACTACGCTCCCTTCCTTTAAACCATCTCTTAAAAAATATCTATTGTCGAAGTATTAATATTTCTTGTAACACTTACTATATTTACAGTATCTGCTTTTATTGTACCATCAAAACCGTTTTATCGGAAATTATCATGTAAATAAATAAGTAATTACCATTGCAATAAACATAATTGCCAACTAGACATAATCCTGACTGCTCTGTCCTCTTGTTCAACCTTATTACTGTACAACTCAGGTTGTACTGCTCCCCCATTATACTTATGTTTTTCAATTCCACTGTAATTTATATGGACAGTATATATATATATATATATATATATATATATATATATATATATATATATATATATATATATATATATATATATATATATATATATATATATATATATATATATATATATATATATATATATATATATATATATATATATATATATATATATATATATATATATATATATATATATATATATATATATATATATAAACTATTAAAAAAGAATATTTAATAAATAAAATAAATAAATATTGAAGTGATAACCGTGGCAACATTATGAGATGTTCTTATTACTACCATGCTATTGTACTATTCCAGATGATACTAAATGTTACATAATACTTCCTTGAGATAAATGTATAGTATATATCAGGTGCCTCAAAGAGAGCTCAGGTTCTCAACTGGCTCAGCCATGTTAATATTGTTATTATTATCCACTCTGTATCTGTGTTTTTCTGGCTAAATAAAATATTTCAATTCAATTCAATTCAATTCAATGTACACGACTATAATGGAACCAGAATGTAAACCCACTAAAAAGCATTCGGCCCTTACGGCGTGTTCATAGTCTACATAAAAATTCTAGATACCTGTACTGGGATCAGCAGTGACATAAGCAAGTTTGCGAATGACACCAAAATAGGGCGGCAGATTAATTCAGGTCAGGATGCAAATTCACTACAGGAGGATCTAAATAAACTGCAGGGGTGGTCTGAAAAATGGCAAATGATATTCAACACCAGCAAGTGCAGCATACTTAATATTGGAAGAACAAATACTATCAATGTATACAGCCTTAACAACATCAACCTAGAGAAGTCAACTTGTGAAAGAGACCTAGGGGTACTTGTAAGACCGGATCCTTCGGCCTAGAAAACACTGCGTTAATGTTCGAAATAAGGCAAACAGAGTATTGGGTTTAATATCTAGAAGTGTAAGTAATTAGAGTGCAGAGGTCTTATTCTAACTATATCTTGCGCTAGTCAGGCCGCACCTCGATAATGCTGTTCAGTTCTGGTGCCCTTATTTCAGAATGGATATCAATTCACTGGAGTTGGTGCAGCGAAGAATGACGAAAATGATTCCTGGACTTAGAAGCCTTCCATAAAAAGATAGATTAAAGAAACTGAACTTGCATTCCCTAGAAAGACGAAGAGTGCGGGGAGATATGATAGAAATATTTAAGTGGGTGAACGGAAATCAATAAATGAGATATAAAGTTCTTATAATATCCGAGCAGGATAGGACGCGTAGCAACGGATTCAAGTTGGATAAGTTTAGGTTTAGAAAGGAGATAGGAAGGAACTGGTTCACAAATAGGGTGGTGGACGAGTGGAACAAGCTTAGCAACTTTGTAGTAAGTGCGGGAACTCTGGAAAGTTTCAAAAGGAGGCTAGATAGATTCATGGATGATAGAGAGTGGTAGTAACTCTCGACAGGAGCTGCCATGCACAGGCCAACCGGCCTATTGCAGACTCCTTATTTTCTCACGTTCTTTATATGACCCGGGTGCCGAATATTTTTTTAGTAGGTGTACAGTACGTCGTTATAGCCATCACCGCCACCTGCCTGCTTTGTTATAGCTCAGATTAATTGACTATGATTAGAAATAACACTAAATAACTCAGTCAGGTGTGTCGGTAAGCCAGGTGTGTAGGTAGGTAGGGGAATAATACAACAAGTGTGATAATGAAAATAATGTAATGAAAATAATTCTGATAAGATAAGAACACTGATTATTGATGTAATAAATGCAATTATAATAGTCATAGCAAAGACAAAGGTAAATATAAAATTAAACTCCAATAATAATAATAATAATAATAATAATAATAATAATAATAATAATAATAATAATAATAATTATGATAATAATAATAATAATAATAATAATAATAATAATAATAATAAAAAGTAATAATATTAATAATAATAATAATAATAATAATAATAATAATAATAATAATAATAAAAAGTAATAATAATAATAATAATAATAATAAAAAGTAATAATAATAATAATAATAATAATAATAATAATAATAATAATAATAATAAAAAGTAATAATAATAATAATAATAATAATAAAAAGTAATAATAATAATAATAATAATAATAATAATAATAATAATAATAATAATAATAACGATAATATTAATAATAATAATAATAATAATAACAATGATAATAATAATAATAATATTAATAATAATAATAATAATGATAATAATAATAATAACGATAATATTAATAATAATAATAATAATAATAATAATAAATAATAATAAAAAGTAATAATAATAATAGCCTAATAATAATAATAATAATAATAATAATAATAATAATAATAATAATAATAATAATAATAATGATAATAATAATCATAATAATATTAAATACAATTAAGCAACTTTATACACACAAGATATACTGAAGCAAGTTAGTAAGTTCAGCAACACGGCAACTAACGTCACTAAATGGCCATCAGACACGGACCTTTTATATTATACATTATGCTAGGTGCTAAGTCATACCTGGACGGACATTTATAGTCATATCAAGGGGGGGGGGGTCAGAGCTACTGTGTGTGTGTGTGTGTGTGTGTGTGTGTGTGTAAAATAGAACTTCAGAATTGATGCTTAAACATGTATAATAATTCATAAATATTCAAGGTTCATTTTAGAAGCGCGCACACACTCACGCACACGCACGCCATATAAGGGGTTTGTTTATATACTGCCAGCAGAACTTTGGCCTCTGTGATGGACCTTAACTTGTAAACACTTTCTCTGGGGTTAGGGCAAAGTAGGGTAGGGTCTGTGTTGATACTTTATCTGTGATACTTCCCTGTGTAGACACTTTCCTATGTAGATAGTTGCCCATGTAGACACTTTCTTTCATAGGTACTTTCCTTTATAAATACTTTGCTATGTAGATACTTTCCCACATATATATTTCTCTGTGTAGCCACTTTCCAATGGTGATACTTTCTTATTCAGATGTCTGTTAGAGGTACTTCACTTTTTAAATACTTTCTTAAATAGGCACTTTCCTATATGGACAATTACTTACACTAATACTTTCCTGCATTGATACTTTCATACAGTGATATTTTATTATATGGATACTTTCTTTCTAAGTTACTTTACCATGTAAGTACTTTCCTATGTGAACACTTTTCTTAATAGCACTTCCCTTCAGAGACCGTTTCTTACAGGGATTAGCTACTTTCCAAGGTGGGTACTTTCCTTCATGGACACTTTCAAAGAGACAGTACCTCTTCAGGAACACAGTACTTTCTCTTTAAATGGTGATAGGATACATTGATACACTTTTTCTCTGTAGGCACTTTCTCTATTGGTATATTAAAGACACTTTCCTGCATATAGACACTTGTTTATCTGTATACATTCTCACTTAGACACTTTTTTGTGTAGACACTTATGTATGCATTTCCTTGTGTAAGTATACTTTTCTGTGTAGCCACTTTCCTATGCAGACACTGCCTTATTTAGTCACTTCTATATGTGAAGATACTTCCCAACATAGACACTTCCTCACATAGGAACTTCCATACATAGGTACTTTCTGATGTAGACACTTCCCCACATTAGCACTTCCCTACACAGACACTTCCCTACATAAGTACTTCCCCCACATAGTTATTTTCCAAGCATAGGTACTTTCCAATGGAGGTCACAGAGGCACTACCAACATCACTTCCACAATAGTTGTCTACTTCCTTTACGACCATCAAGCCAGTAGGTGTTCATCTCACCTTTGCCCTGCAGAGGTGTAAACAGGTATAAATACAAGCATGAAAATTTGTAAATGAATGATCAATATGGAGCATAAGTACTAATGTAAACAGGTGTAAACAATGGTGTAAATGTAGATGTAAACAATGGTCTAAATGTAGGTGTACACAATGGTGTAGGTGTAGGTGTAAGCAAGGGTGTATATGTAGCTGTAAATAAGGGTGTAAACACAGGTGTACAGCTGTAGAGTAATTGTTAGTGTAAAACAGCTGTAAATGTTGGTGTAAAAGAACTACATAAAAAGTTGTTACCACAGATGTACACTATTTAATAAATTAATAAAATGTATATACTGTGTATATATATATATATATATATATATATATATATATATATATATATATATATATATATATATATATATATATATATATATATATATATATATATATATATATATATATATATATATATATATATATATAGGTGTAGAGACAAGTGTAAGTGCATCTGCAAACACAATTGTAAAAGAAATATGAAATAATGTTAACATTTGCAAATACAAAACAAACATAAAAAACAAAGGTAGAAAAATATAAACGACCAAACAAGCACAAATGAATAAATAAATACACACACACACACACACACATATACACACACACACACACACACACACACACACATATATGTAAACAACACGCACAAATAAACAATACACTTCTTTAGTTATCGTATATCCACCAAGAGATCATATCAGGTCATCAGGTCATAACAGGTCTTAAGGTCATATCAGGTCGTCAGGCCATATCAGGTCATAAGGTCATATCAGGTCGTCAGGTCATAAGGTCATATCAGGTTGTCAAGTTATATCAGGTCATAAGGTTATATCAGGTCATTGGGTCATATCAGGTTATATTAGGTCATATCAATTCATAAGGTTAAATCAGGTTTATCAGGCCATAAGGTCATATTAGGTTGTCAAGTTGTATCAGGGCATAAGGTTATATCAGGTCAATGGGTTATATGAGGTGTGAAAAGTAATGATCTGGACAGGTAAGTTAATAAAGGTTAAAGCTGGATAAAGCACTAACCTTAATCTGCAATTTGCCTCTGAATGTTGTGGTGAAATTGAACTTCTCCAGCTGGTGTGCACACTTCTCGCTGATGTGCACCCGGCCAACCTGTGACCAACACCTTCCATTAATGCCAACAACTACTAAGTGTATCAAGTAACAATAATAACAGTGTCCTCACGGCTGATAGTCGTCCATGTCCTAGACTTCAGGTGCAGGAGGAGGAAGATAGATTAATGTTGTACTGGGAACAGTAGTGACACAAGCAAGTTTGCGGATGACACCAAAATAGGGCGGCAGATTAATTCAGGGCAGGATGCAAATGCACTACAGGAGGATTTAAATAAACTGCAGGAGTGGTGAGAAAAATAGCAAATGAAATTCAACACCAGCAAGTGCAGCGTACTTAATATTGGAAAAACAAATACTGTCAATGTCGACTTGTGAAAGAGACCTAGGGGTACTTGTAAGCCCGGACCTACGTCCTAGAAAACAGTGCGTTAATGTTCGAAATAAGGCAAACAGACTATTAGGTTTTATATCTAGAAGTGTAAGTAATAAGAGGGCGGAGGTCATATTGCAACTATATCTTGCGCTAGTCAGGCCGCACCTCGATTATGCTGTTCATTTCTGGTGCCCATATTATAGAATGAATATCAATTTACTGGAGTCGGAGCAGCGAAGAATGACGAAAATGATTCAGGGACTTAGAAACCTTCCATATCAAGATAGATTAAAGAAACTAAACTTGCATTCCCTAGAAAGACGAAGATTGGGGGTAGATATGATAGAAGTATTTAAGTGGGTGAAAGGAATCAATAAAGGAGATATAGATAAAGTTTTTATAATATCCGAGCAGGATAGGACTCGTAGCAACGGATTTAAGTTGGATAAGTTTAGGTTTAGGAGGGAGATAGGAAGGAACTGGTTCACAAATAGGGTGGTGGACGAGTCGAACAAGTTTAGCAACTTTGTAGTAAGTGCGGGAACTCTGGAAAGTTTCAAAATGAGACTGGATAGATTCATGGATGATAGAGAGTGGTAGTAACTCTCGACAGGAGCTGCCATGCACAGGCCAATCGGCCTCTTGCAGACTCCTTATTTTCTTATGTTCTTATGTATGCTGACACTCCACCTTGGCACACCTGAGGAAGATATTCATGACAGGTGTAAGAATGAATGTGTTGACCTTATGGTTATATCTGTTGAGCATGGACACACACAGACGGACCTTGTGGACTGGTTTATCGTTTCTGCAAAGTGTCAACTGTGATAGTGAGGACGTCAGAGTGTTTTATGTCACAGTGAACTTGACAGAAAATGGTTGACCAAGAGCTGATTGGCTGAGGGTTAGGGAAAAGTTATCTCAGCTGGGTGGGTCAGGAGCGACCCACAAGACAAGAGATGGGCACTGTATCCACTCAGCCGCTGTACCCAGAATATAGGTAACCCAATTACTTTTTAAGTCACTAATAACTTAAGACGAAGTGAATGTATATTTCTGTCTTAACTGTCTCTATGCACATCACACAAGAGCCAGGCTAGTATAGGAGACACACCTTGCTGTTGGTCTGCATTCTGGAGGCGGTGTTGACGGTGTCGCCGAAGAGGCAGTAGCGAGGCAGCTTGAGGCCCACCACACCTGCTGCTACTGGTCCCATGTGGATCCCTGGGTGAGGAGGAGTTAGGTATCAGGTGGACATGGGATAGAAGGACATGGCGAAGGAGGACATGAGGAAGGAGGACACCTTAACCACCAATAGGATATGGGGAAGGGGGACACCTTAACCACCAGTAGGACATGGGGAAGGGGGACACCTTAACCACCAGTAGGACATGGGGAAGGGGGACACCTTAACCACCAGTAGGACATGGGGAAGGGGGACACCTTAACCACCAGTAGGACATGGGGAAGGGGACACCTTAACCACCTAACCACCAGTGGGGACATGGGAGGGGACACCTTAACCACCAGGGGACATGGGGAAGGGGACACCTTAACCCAGTGGGAGGGAGTAGGACATGGGGAAGGACACCTTAACCACAGTAGGACATGGGAGGGGACACCTTAACCACCAGTAGGACATGGGGAAGGGGACACCTTAACCACCAGTGACATGTAACCACCAGTGAGGACATGGGGAAGGGGACACCTTAACCACCACAGTGGACATGGGGAAGGGGACACACTGTAACCACCAGTGGGACATGGGGAAGGGGACACCTTAACCACCAGTGGGACATGGGGGGAGGGGGACACCTTAACCACCAGTAGGACATGGGAAGGGGACACCTTAACCACCAGTAGGACATGGGGAGGGGACACCTAACCACCAGTAGGACATGGGAAGGGGACACCTTAACCACCAGTAGGACATGGGGAAGGACACCTTACCACCATGGGGAGGACACCTTGGGACAGGGGGGGACACCTTTAACACACCAGACATGGGGAGGGACACTGGACACCAGTGGGACATGGGGAACACGCCACCAGTGGGACATGGGGAAGGGGGACACCTTAACCACCAGTAGGACATGGGGGAGGGGACACCTTAACCACCAGTAGGACATTAACCATCAGTAGGACATGGGGAAGGGACACCTTAAGTAGGACATGGGGAAGGGACACCTGGGAGGACATGGGGGGGAACACCTACCACACCTCAGTACACACACATGGCCCCAGTGGGACATGGGGAAGGTTGTAGTAGGACATGGGGAAGGGGACACCTTAACCACCAGTAGGACATGGGGAAGGGACACCTAACCATCAGTAGGACATGGGGAGGGGGAGTAGGACATGGGGAGGGGACACCTTAATCACAGTGGGACATGTGCTACATGTGTGTGTGTGTGTGTGTGTGTGTGCGTGTGTGTGCGTGCGTGCGTGCGTGCGTGCGTGCGTGCGCGTGCGTGTGTGTGTGTGTGTGTGTATTTTCGTTCTTACCGATCCTCAGGTTGTGGGTGTGAGGGGTCTTGGCCACCTCCTGCAACATGTGGAGAGCGAGGGCGGCCACCTGAGCGCAGTGGTCGTGTTGGTACTCAGGAGCGCCGCCCACCACCATGTACACGCCGCCCACCGTCTCCACCTGTAAAAGGGTGTATTTAATGCATATGAACGCGTGTAAATGTGGTGGTCTCTCTCTCTCTCTCTCTCTCTCTCACACACTTATTGATGCCCTTAGCTGTCTCTTTGTGGGGAGAGTTAACCATAATATTAACACAAAATTTAGTTAACCGCATAAACTGCTTTGAGGCTGAAAAGATTTATTTATCAGCTACATAACAACTTTAATATCTTTATTTCCTTGTGGAAGAAGATGATGAATAAATATAATATAATTAGTAATAATAGTGACTGTAACCGCCAATCAGACGGTTAGAGGGTTTAGTGAAACTTGTGACGTTGGACTCAAACATTATAATTTCGTCAAACCTGTTGGATACAATTCCTTTTAGTATTTCACATAAATCATACATAGGCAATCACATAAATATCTAATCCAATATATATTTACAAAACAATCATAGCTATGTAATCAGTCTAATCTTAACACTTATAATGAGTACTTTAGTTTCCATATTTTTATGTCGTCACAATGATAAACGAAGCAATGGACCCAGTCTACCTGTGTACTGTACACAATAAATACAAGTTAAACTTACGTGTTGAAAGTCTTCAGGAAAAACAGGTTAGGTGTTGGTGGTGTGATGGGGATAGCTAAAGTGAGGCTGGCGGTGCCCAGCTGGGCACCATATGGTCAAGTTGGCCACTTCAAACTCGCTGTGTCAGTCTTATTATAAGTAAACAAGCTCACTTCCCACCACCCAACACCTCAACCTACTCTAGGTCTCTCATCTGCCTCCATCTCAACACTATATATGGGCAGGCACGCCCAATAAACATGACATTTGTTTATATGTCATTATAATTATGTACCGCTTGCGGTAACAGTGATAATAATACTAAGACAAGGTGTGTTTGGGTGTTAATCATCCAGACAGTGCTAGTTACATTAAGTTAGGTTATGTTAGGCTAGATTAGATTAAGCTAGGTTAGGGTAAGTCAGATTAGATTAACCTTGAAGACAGAGTACTGGTCGGTGGTGTTGTCCAGCAAGTTGTACATCTCGTTGACTGTCCTCATCACATCCATGGCACCCATTGCCTCGCTCTCTGAAGACAACACAACCTCAGCGAACAACACCGACACCTCCTCGAACGTCTGTCAGATGTACAATACATAATACACCTGGCTTTTGAGAGGCAGCTACCATCAATACACTACATCAACTACACTACATCAAATACACAACATCAACTACACTACATCAATTACACTACTTCAACTACACTACATCAAATACACTACATCAACTACACTACGTCAACTACACTACATCAACTACACTACATCAAATACACTTTAACGTTTATATATGGAGGTCGACATTCTTTGGGGCCAACACCACCTGAATTTAGCCGTGTTCCCAAGAGGGGTTTCCACATTTGGGAGTGTGGGTAAGTCCCCCAAATCCGAGCTTATATGCAATTTTGGGATGCATGCACATCTTAATGCCAAATTTCAACTGTCTATATTCAAAACCACAGCCAGAGATACATAGATAAACAAACCAACAAACGGTGTCCTTTACTTATATAGATTAAAAAGAGACATTTGCATAAAAATGACTGTATGTCTATTTCAGGCAGAACATGAAACATCCATTAATTAAAGGTATTTAAATCAATGTATTTATTGTTTGAGTTACCAAAAATATTTTATTTTTAAATAAAGGAAGAAGCCAATCGAAACAGAATAAAATTGGAGAGAGAGAGAAAGAGAGAGAGTGAGCGAGTTACCTGGCAGGTGGCATATGGGTCATTACCCTGACGGAGGACGTCTGCCACCTGGCGAGGCAACATGGAGTACAGGAGATCGTCACCCCTCGACTTGGCCTCCTCGTGCTTCCTGTGGGCATCCTCCAGTCTGGTTGAGTACTCCTCTGCCCGGTTGTACATGATCTCTAACCTGAAGGAAGAGCAGCCTTTGTTAGCCAAGGGTAGGTGATGGCAGATACGACTTTCAAGTCAATATGATAATTCTCCAGCCAACTTCCACATATTTTTGTGAACTAGTCCAAATGATCAAATATAAGTTATGTTAAACTAATCCTCACCTCCCATTACCTCACCACCCTAGCCCTCACCTCTCCTCACCTCACCACCCCAGCCCTCACCTCACCTTACCTCACCACCCCAGCCCTCACCTCCCCTTACCTAACCACCCCGGCCCTCACCTCACCTGGAGCAGTGTTCCCAGCCTTTGAGGACCATCTCTCGGCCAAGGTCGTGCATGCTGAGGTCATTAAGGTAAAGACCCATCTCTCTCATTTCTACCAGGTTGTTGAGGCTGTAAGGGAGACACCATGTTAGGTTAAGTTTGGTTAGTTTGGTTAGGTTAAGTCCCAGTTGCTACCTGACCCATCAGTTGCTACCGGACCCAGCTTGGAGAAGGACGTGCCCCCTAGTGCTCCCGTTAGTGACCAAAGAAAATGGCAGCCTTGGATCATTGTGTCTTGGGGGAAGAGGAGTAGAGTGTGAGGAAGGACGACCTCCTGGCCACTCTGTTAAGTCAGCTGGGGCAGTTGAGGAGTGAGATTGACGCTCTAAAGGGGGAAAATGAAGCCCTCAGGACTGAACTCCTTCAGGTAGGTGTCCTGCCTAGCAGGACACCTGCGAAGGAGGAGCAGGCGTGGAGAGTGGTTGTCTCCAAGGGGACTAGGGATCCCGATAGTATGTGGTGTCG